TGCGTTCAGCAGACTCAACAGTTTTGCAACCGTTTTGTGATTCTTCGCTGAGATAGGACTATTCCTTTAAATCTAAAAGTATAATCCAATCAGCGTGACGAATTACAAAACGGTTGTAAAACTGCTGAGTCTGCTGAACGCAGCCCATGTTTCGCTTCCCGCGCTTTGTATGTCAACTCGATCGAGAGACTTTCCACCTAACAAAAGAGCAAGGTGCAAAAGTCTCCCGATCGGGAACACCCGACACGTTTCTGAACGGGCCATCTAGGTAATGCTGAGATACTCTCAATTGGTTTCTGAACGTCATTCGGGAGCTTGGGTACTCCCGAATGTAGTATCTGAACGCAGCCCTAGTATCTAGGCCTCTAGATCTAATGAAAGTGATCTACGGGAAAACTCTTGGGATTGGTCAAAACTAATTGTGCGTTCCGCCAATTCCGTATTGTGCTAATTCTGCACCATAGGACCGCGCCATAATGCGACGCGAACATCTAGGCGCCATATTGGTTCCGGTAACGCGAATGTATTGGAGCGTATTGGGCATGTTGGAGTCGTGCGACGCGAACAAACCTTTTATCTCTATATTCCTTTAACTATATAACATGGACTGCTAGCAGCAATTTCAGACTAGTAGTTATCCCATGCAACAGAGAGAGAGAGAGAGAGAGAGAGAGAGAGAGAGAAAGAGAGAGAGGGGGGGAGGGTGGCACCCAGTTGGACACGGCTCAATTGGACACAAGCCACTCACAGCGCTTGAGACTACAAAGCTCCTAAGCACCGGTCGCTGTGATTGGTGGTGTCCAATCGAGCCGTGGTCAATCGGGATCACCCCTGCTAGAGGTGGTAGTAGAGCACTAGAAACGTAGGTATTCGCGTCCACCATTTTTACTTCTTTCCCCACTGTTCGTTCTCTCTTCAACCTTCTCTCTTCTCTCTTCAATTTTCTTAGTTTAGCGGCGGAATGGAGAGAGAGCAAGGAATTGAGAAAAGGAGCAAGAGAGTGAGAAAAGGAGTAAAAATGGCGGATGCGAATACTTACGTTTATAGTGCCTTAGTGGTAGTGGAGATGAATTGCTTCTCTTATATATAGAACTCTAGTAAAATCGGTCCATTTTTATTTACGTAAATGAAGCCTCCTTAGTCTTTCTTCCTGGTTTGCTCATACTGTCGCTCATGATGGAAAGAATATAAGGTGAAACATTGCACATAATGGCGATAGCAGTACTGGAAATAACCAATCAAATTTTCCCCAATATGCACTTTCCTGTGTATAGTAGTGCTGGTTATACTGGAACAGCCAATCAAATGTTACTCAAATTCACTCTCCTACTGTGCATCCACGCCCCACGGGAGTACTTCACCTTATATTCTTTTCACAATGCTATCGCTATTGTATGTAGTTATATTGTGTCTCAACCGTGCACAGCGTACACATTCTGTTCCAATTGAATCGTGCACAATGTTAAGCCGGCGGCACACGATGCTTGTTTTCTTGTTGGATTGCTAGCTGGATTAGATTCTTGCCATGGTATTGGCTGCGATGCTGACAGTGCCAGCAT